GAAGATAAGTTTTTGTTCTCTGCAGGATCATTTTATGTGTAGGTGAAAATATTTCCTAGAAACATTCTTCACAGTAATTTGAAATAATGAAGGCAAATATCATATGCATAATGTGAGGAAAACCTAAGAATAACAATTTATCTTTAATATGAAAATTAGGAAAATGACTTTAGTAATTATTAACATGTTGACTGTACAGGTAACCTTCAGGTTCCAATTGTGTGATAGCTTTGTTCTTGGAGATAGCAGATAGCTTTGTCCTTGGAGTCTGAAAGAGACGCAGGAGTGCCCTAAACATCCTTCAACCAAGAGGGTAGAAGTTTAATGTAGAGTCTAAGCTCATTTGCAAACTACACAGTATAGTTTTCAAATAAATTGCTTATAAAAGCCATTTACATGGTCATGCACTTTGAAGCTGGAGTACATTCTAGGATGGAATGAAGGAATAGAGTTGAACTTACCCAAGTTTCCCAGATATGTCAGCTCAGTGTTGGGGAGTGGCATGGGGTGTTCTATGCCATCTAGAGGTGTTCTGAGTGGTTTATGTAGACCTCATGGGCAACAGATGTGTAGACATCAGTGATAAGAGTAATTGCCACTGTTAAGAGTAGGATGACTGGGCTGGGTGCAGTGGCTCAGGTCTGTAATCCCAGAACTTTGGGAGGTGGAGGTGGGTGGATCACGAGGTCAGGAGGTCGAGACCATCCTGGCTAACATGGTGAAACCCCGTCTCTACTAAAAATACAAAAATTAGCCAGGTGTGGTGGCGGACACCTGTAGTCCCAGCTACTCGGGAGGCTGAGGAAGGAGAATGGCGTGAACCCAGGAGGCAGAGGTTGCAGCGAGCCGAGATTGTGCCACTGTACTCCAGCCTGAATGACAGAGCGAGACTCCATCTTAAAAAAAAAAAAGAGTAGGATGACTGTGTTAATTTGTTAGGGCTGTTGTAGCAAGATGTCACAAACTGAGTGGCTTAAACAATAAAACTGTGTCGCCTCTCAGTTCTGGAGGCTGCAAGTCTGAGATCAAGGCACTTGCATGGCCATGCTCCCTCTGAAGGCACTAGGGAAGGATCTGCTCCAGGCCTCTCTCCTGGCTTCTGATAGTTCTTTGTTTGTGGCAGCATAATTCCAGTCTTCACATGGCATTCTCCCTGTGTGTCTCTGTCTTCACAAGGCCATCTTTTTATGAGGACATCAGTCATATTTGATTAGGGGCCCACACTACTCCAGTAACGTTTGCAACAACCCATTTGCCAAGTAAGACCATATTATGAGGTACTGGGGTTTAGGACTTAAACATATGAATTTGGTATGGGAGGGCACAATTCCATTCATAACAAGTGACCTTGTATCTGTTGTCCCAATTGAGACACTGGTGAGAGTGAAAGGGAGTAATACTGTATTAGGGTTCTCCAGAGAAAAAGAACCAATAGCATATGTATAGATATATATGAGGAGATTGATTATGGGAATTGGTTTACACAGTTATGGAGGCCAAGAAGTTCCATGGTGTGCCATTTGCAAGAGACCCGGGAAAGCCAGAGGTGTAATATAACCTGAGTTTGAAGTTCTGCAAACCAGGTGAGCCAAAGGTTTAACTCAGTCCAAGACCAAAGGCCTGAAAACCAGCAGCAGGGGTTTGTTGATGTAAGTGCTGGAGTCTGAAGGCCAGAGAACTGGGAGCTTCCTTATGCAAGGGCAGAAGATGGATATCATCTCAGATCAAGGAGAGAGATGGAGGGAGGGAGGGAGAGAAGAAGTAGAAGGGGAGGGGGAGGAGGAGGAGGGGGAAGAGGAGAAGAAGAAGGAGGAGAAGGAGGAAAGAAAAAGAAAGAGAGAGAAAGAAAAGAAAGAAAGAGAGAGAGAAAGAAAGAGAGAGAAAGAAAGGAAGGAAGGAAGGAAGGAAGGAAAAGAGAAGCGGGAAGGAGGAGGAGGAAGAGGAGGAGGGAAAGAGAGATAATTAATTCACTGTTCCTCCATCTTTTTGTTCTATCCTGGTCCTCAATGGATTGAATGATGCCTGCCCACATTGGTGAGGGTGGATCTTCTTTACACAGTCTACTAATTCAAATGCTCATCTCTTCTGGACACACCCTCAGAGACCCAGAAATAATGTTTTACCAGCTGCCTGGCCACATCCCTTATCCTAGTCAAGTTGACATGTAAAATTAACCAGCTATTACTATATTGTTCTAGGATAACAGGCATAAACTGAGACTACTTTAGACAAATCTGGATATATGGTCGCCGCATCCATAGGATAGGTATAATTTATCCAGTTTTTCAAAGGTTCAATGGCGTTGGATGATTTTCTCAGAGTTACAACTGGACGGAGGTTGAGCAGTATTCAAACCCAGGACAATCACATTCCAAAAAAATTATTTAAAAAGCTATGTCTTAAAAGAAGTTAGCCTTTTTAAGTCTATGGACAGAATTCCTATATTATGACAGTAGGTAAAGTTGGAAATGGATTCGTTATGTTCCCTTCTTTAAAATTCCTTACTAGTCTTTAACTATATATTTCTTTCTTTGCTTGATGGATTTTGGCTGTTATGAAAGGAAATAGTAACCTGGTATATTATATTAGGATAAACATAATTATTTACCTGATGACTGCAAGTCTTTTGTTTTTGTTTGCTGGCCTCTCTATTGGTATTTGGAGAACAAAACCAGATGTAAAGCTATGTGATACAAAGAGAATAGCTGTGAGTATTAAATTATCTTAGGCTTGCTAGAAAAATAATTTTACGTAAGTGTAGAGCATGTTGCTATTCTTGTCATGATTTATCCCTAATATAGATTTGATTTATTGATGGATTTCATTGTTCATAAATAAGAAGGAAACATTTTAGCCTTGTTTATTATCTATCACCAAAGTAAAATAAACTTTGAAAATCTAAAAAATGACTTTTTGTACTTTATGAAGAAGAAAATGAAAATATTATCTGGAATTGTGTGATGCAGGAGCTACCACCATTTAGCAGTCGCATTCTGCTATGTTTTCTTCCTGTCCTTTTCCTTTGTGGTTCAAGGTTAAATGATTAAGATCTCAATAAATGATAGCTCCTGCCGCACTCCTACTGTTGCTGCCGATGCTGTTACTGCTATTCCTATGATGTTCATTTTATATCATCATCCTGAAATAGAAACATTCTAGATATATCAGAGAAGTGATATCATTATGACTTAGAGTCTGGATGGAGGGAGAAGTGAGTAAAAAAAAGTGGGGGGTTATCTTGAATGACTCCCAAGTTTTTTATTTGCTAACTAGGTGAATGTGGTACAACTAATCAGGACAGGATATATAGCACACCCAAGACCAAAGGATAAATACCACGAATTCAAAATAATGCACACTGATTTAAGCTGTTTGTGAGATACCCAAAGGAGGGTACCTGTTAGACATATCTATACCTGGCGATTGGGGCTCGATAGAAATCTGGAATTCAGATAAGCATGTATTATCAACTCAGGGTTAAAATAAGATTATATTTTCCTAAATGTTACCAAGCCTTTGTCCTACTGACTTTGAAAAGCCACGCCTTCCCAGAGTCATGATGATCGTAAGGTCAATAAGTCTAGGTTAGCTTACCTAGTACAAAGGTTGATTTTGTCTCAGAGAAGTTGGCAAGTCTGGATAGCTCATTTAAGGACCTGTTCCTGTTTGTGTTGTGATTGTTGTTTTTAGTTTCTTGCTAGTTTGGGTGTTTGTCACCATTTTACAGTACTGGTCCAAAGGGAGAATCCTGGGTGCTCCTCCCCAAGGAGGAGAGGCTAGAAAATGCCACCTGGCAGGGGGCACTGCTGCAGGTGCTTCCATATGATGTCACTGCTGGAAACAAAGTTTGGGAGAACAGTGCAAGGCCATTGTGCAATGGGGCCAGCCTTGAGACCCAGGAATGTAACTGTCCATTTCATGAAGCAAAGTTAGGGACAGGGGAGAGGTCAAGTAAGGCATTGGTGAAAAGTGATCACTGGATCAAGCAACAAGGGGCTTTGTTGACCCCATGAGGGAGTTGACTGGGATAATGCACATGATGTCCAGGTTGAATTAAAATCAGAACCAAATGGAACATGAGAGAGTAGAGGAAGAACATACACTGCTAGTCAGAAGGCCTGGCTCTGAAGGGAAGACAGAAGTTTTACATTAGCCGAAAGAAAATATTTTATTATATTGATCTTTGATTGCAGCCAGGGTCTAGCATCCTGCTGTGTAAGTACATTGTTAAATGAAAGAATAAATCAAGTAGTGATTTTGAGCTACTGTCCATCCTAAATAATTTGGCTTTTGTAAGAAGGCATCTTCAGATCCCTTTTGGAGATTAAATTTTGTCACAGTTTTGTCATTTCACAGTATAATTTTTTTTTAATGTGCTGTGTATACATGTGCTTGTCTTGAAAAACATCTTGGCTATTTTCAAAATTATAGCCTCTAGGTGAGAGGTATTTGATTATATCAGAAAGTGTGGCTTAATTATTATTTAGTTTAACTACCAATGGTCCTTTTGAACATACATCAATTTTATGAAATTCTTTTGAAACTCACAGCCTTAACTGAGTCAAATTCATTTATATGAAACAAAAAATAAAACAAAACAAGGTGTCAATAAATCAGGTAAATAATTCCCCTTTAAAGAGTAGTACAGTGACAGAGCAAATTGATTAACATAAAATATTTTTAACAAATTCTTAAAATTACGAGATTTAATTCGGACTCAAGTGTTAAAAGGAATATGCAGCAAATATGCTACTGGCAAATGTTTATTTTTGAGTATCAGAAGTGCTCTGGGCTCAGTGCCCTCTCCACAGGAGGGGAGGCCACAGTCCACTGCTGTGCTGCACAGCCCATGCTTGGGTCTGCCCCGCTGTGCCTGGAGCCCACTTGAAGTAGCACAGGGCATGTGTGGTGGCCAGGATCTGAGTGTATGAGAAGTGATAGCACAGGGCTGGTTCTGCTGCTTCACGTTTTTCTGACATTCAGGCTTCCTTTATTTGTAGGTGAGCGTCCCTATCAATGTCCTTACTGTGAAAAAGGATTCAGTAAAAATGATGGACTGAAGATGCACATTCGTACTCACACCAGGGTAAGATTATATTCTATTTCATTAATATTGATCATGAAAACCATGCTTATTTTAAAAGAAATATATTTAACTTTATATTACAAAATAAAGACAATACACTGGAAGTTGTATATCTATATTTATGATAGACATTTAAGGATAATTTTTTAAAAGGTAAAACAATGAAAAAAAAACACGAATTGAAACCCCAAAAAGGTTTTTATTCTTTGAATCAGGAATCAATTTTCAGGAGTTATAAATGATGAACTGCAAGATAAATAGATTTTTAACATTTTAATACTACAATAATTAAAGGTTTTTCTTGCAAAACATTCACCAGTAATAGGAACATTTTTTAATAGAGTCTGCAAATTTGTCAGCATTTGACCATTAAGTAATACTGATGAGCAAGTATGTTTGCAAGAAAGACATTGCAGATAAATTACCAGGACAGGTGGGAAATAAGGAAGTATAACTCAGTGCTTCACAGGGCATGCCCAGTGCTGTGGCTTATTCTTCCCAGGGTACCCTTTGTTCCTTTGCTGTCAACACTCTCACTGAACTATTATTGTTCTGTTATCTATGCCTTTTCCAGACTCAAGCATCTGTTTCACATGCTTTAAAAAAAAATGTAAGCAGCTTACTCACCATCACCCACCATTTCATAGCTAACTATTCCATTTAAGGCACAATTAGACACTTTAAATGAACTTTCCACGTGGAAATTTTGTATTGTTTTAAATAGCTATTGTTGATTTTGCTCTATTCAACTTTTCACTGCATTATCTTTCAGTTTCTTTTCAGTTTCGCCTTTTAAAGTGCATATGGTCTGTATGTAAATGATATTTTTTTTCAAATATTAAGAGACTTATCTAATCCCCTTTAGAACAATTCTAATTTAAACCGCTCCTGGATTTTACTTTTTACCTTAGCTATAAAAGAAAAACTTTAGAGAAAACACATAATAGTAATATTCTTCCTGGTATAATAATACTGTAGCCCTCCACTTCAGTTCGGCAGCACATAAAATCTATCCCCTGAAGTCCCCTTAAGAAAATACTTTATTTGTCTTTGTGGTGAAGAGAGGGAGCTTCTCCACTCATTAAAACAAATCTATGGCAGGTTTCTCATTCTAGTTTGTAGTATCATATTCATATTATGTGAATATTAGGAATTGGAGTACTTCCTAGATATAAAAGTACTTCATAAACCGTAAAGGGTTAGACAGATATTCCTGTTTATAATAGTGTGATTTAAATGTACAATATCCAAAATATTTCACAATGAGTATTATGAAAAAGGTTTAAATTAGCTTTAGATTAAGAGGTTATTTTACATGTGAGCAGTTGTCACAGATGTATCAATAATGTATTTATTTAAAAGATGCGGACATAGGCAAAGGGGCCCTGATTCCTCTTAATAGAAACCAGTGATATTGACAGAAATGTACATATGATGTTGTTTTACTTGATTACTGAAGGTAGACATGATTACAACACAGAAGAAGCTGTTTAAATCACTGCAAGAAAAAATATTTTTGGGGTTTTTCAAGAAGGTGAGACATTTTCGATTCAATTGAGTTGGATTTTACTTCATTTTAATATAAAGTTATTAATGAGAATAATACAGATAGTTAAGATGAATAAAAATAGTTAAGATGAATAAAAATAAACACAAAATCACTAATTACATGCCAGTACTCTTTTAGACCTTTGCATTTATTAATTTATTTAAGCTTCACAACAACTCTTTGAAGTAGCTGTTGTTATGATTTCTTTTTGAAAAGCAAGAAACTGAGGCACAAACAAATAAGTGGCAGAGTTGAGATTTGAACCTAGGGAGATTGGCTACAGAGACCATTTGCAATTTTTTGCCTATTATTTAACTGAATATTTTCTCATTCCACCAGCTCATATATTTTCTGGTATATTTCCACACTAAACAAATTACAGTAATGACCCCAAATTTAAAAGTCCCATATCCTTTTGAATTTTTGAACCTTGATATAAGGATTCCAACACTGTCTCCAAAGTATTCAGCTGCAGATGGTCCCTTGTCAGAAGTTTTCTGACATTAACTGCACAAAAAGAAAACAAATTCTGGGCTTTGACTAAGGGAATTCAAGAGAATGTATAGACCAGGAGCACTCAGGATTTTAGGCAGGATCCCCCACAATGAGTAGAAAATCCAAGGAACAGGGTAAATATGTGTAAACCTTTTTTTGGGTTTTGCCTCAAACTCTTTTTTAATTTTCCTTTTTTGTGCATTTTTTAAATATTTTACCCAAGCAGTTTTATTTTGAAAATACTGTTTCCTAAGCATTGAATAAATACAGATAGTCTTTGCATATTAGTTCAAATTTTAAAAAGCCTACTTAGGTTATCAGCTAGTACAATCAAACTATTATTAAAACTCAACAGAGATTTTAAAAAAAATATTCTAGAGGAACAACCTCTGCAAGGTCATATTTTCCCAGTATTATTCGCATTTTGTAAGACTCCGGTCAAAAAAGATACTGTTACATTTGGGCCATAACACATTTCAGTTTCAATTTTGCATTCACATTACATAAGCATTTAACTAACTCTAATTCCCAGACAGTTTTGGTCCTATTTTAAAAGTTTTTAATTCTATTTTAGCAACAACAGAAAAAAAATAAGCTATCTAATTCAGTAAGGTACATCTTTAGGAAGTTCTGCTGAGACAACCCAAGATGCTGTGTCAGGCCTGTACCCCCAAGTTTGCATTCTGTGGTGACTGCATGAATGCCTTCTAGAAGGAACATAAAGCCATTTACTCTCTGATTATTGTCTATAGGGTGCAGTAAGAGCCCCAGATGTGGGAGATCATTTTGCCAAAATCCAATTAATCATTGACCTTTCTTGGAGAGACCAGGGTTTGAGATGAAGTCTGGTAATTTTACTTCCTTCAGTATATTCTCTTTATATTTGTTGTTTTCAGCTTCTGGCTATGTTGTACCTAGTTGTGTTTTTCATTGTATTTTTGCAGCTTAGATCTGTCGTCTGCTATCTTTAGTTAAATTTCAGAAAATTCTTGGCCATTTTATTTTTTTTCAAATTTGTTTTGTCCCTTTCTTTCTGTCTTCTTATGGGACACCAGTTACGCATGTTAGACTATCTGATATTGTTCCAGAGTTCTTGAATGCCCTATTCTCTTTTTGTTTCCTTTGCATTTTAAAAAAAAACTCAGTGTTTTTCTCTGTGTTTCTAATTTCTATTGATATTTTCATCTTCATTGATTTTTCTACCTCTGTTGTGCTGTCTGCCTATTGAAGGAGTGCATCGTTGATACTATGTTTTTCCTCTCTAGCATTTTCACTTGAATTTTTAAAAATTGTTTCCATAAGGCCTAGCACAGTGGCTGATGCCTGTATTTCCAGCACTTTGGGAGGCTGAGGTGGGAGGATTGCTTGAGGCCAGGAGTTCGAGGCTGTAGTGAGCTATGATCGTGCCACTGCACTTCAGCCTAAATGACAGGGTAAGACCCTGTAAGACTCAATTCAAAAAAAATACTATTACATTTTGGTCATAACACATTTCAGTTTTAAATTTGCATTTAAAAATAAAATAAATAAGAAAATAAATAGTTTCTATATTTCTGTTGAAATTGCCCTTTTTCACTGGATTCTTGGACATATTAATTGTAATCATTTTAAATTCTTTCTTTGGTGTTTCCACCATCAGGGCCATCTGTGGATGTCATTGTTTTGAGTATTCTATCTCTTGATAATGAGTGGGAAGATTGCAGGAGTTTGCTTTTTAAGTGTAACATAATTTTTGAACGTCTGTGTGTGTGTGTGTAAGAGAAATTAAGTCTCTAAGTCTAATTGGAGACTAAAGTAAACACTGCTTATGCCTGGAAATAGGTATACTTCTTCTTCTGCTAGGCTGTTAATGTGAGTGAGGCTTGAGTTAGTCTGGTCAGGAGCTAAGCTAGGTTTGGGGTTTGTTGTTCCTGTGGTCACCACAGGCTATAAGCTTCTCCAGCGGGTGGACTGCTGCTGCTGTGTTCTTCATGTGAGGCTTTTCTTGAGGATCCTTCCTCACCATCAGGTTTTGGCAGATCCAAAATCTGTACCTTTGCCACAGAACATGTTTCTCTCTGCCTTTGTCCCTCCACTGGCAGTAGCCTGCTGGTGCTTGTTACTAGGCACGAGACTTAAGTAGGCCAAAGGGCTTTCCTGGGGCCCCTGCTCTAGCATTAGTTGGGTAGGTGCTCTGCACTTGAGTCTCAGGGTTGTGACTTTATCAGCATTTCTGCCTCTACCCTGGTGCTAGGTGGCCCCTGCCTCTGACTCCACTCAGGGTCAGCTGCAGTGTCCTAACCACTAGCTACCTATGGCTGTCGAAATTTAAATTTTAATTAAATCTAATTAAATGCAATTAAAAATTTACTTTTTCAGTCACATTAGCCACTTTTCAGGTGCTCTATAGGCACATGTGTCTGGTGACGACTGTATGCCACAGCACAGATATAGGACATTACAGTCACCACAGAAAGCTCTGTTGGACAGCACAGGCCTAGAAGGTGGATGGTTTCCTGGCCCTACCGGCTGTGGCAGGTGAGCTCCACCTCGTATCTTTGGAGTAGAAGGTTTGGAGCATGAGAAAGAGGTTTCTGCCCCTCTTCCCACAGCAGCAGACCTCTCCTGTGGATCCCTTGGGTTCTTGGGCTCCCCTGGGTGTCAGTGCAGGATATGTAGGCAGGTTCTGTCTCTCTCCAGAGGCCACGGGTCATTGCCTGGGACCACAGCACCAGAAAGTTTCATGTTCCCAGCAGCTGGTAGCTTTTGCCTCCTGTCAAAGCACAGTAACATCTGGGATGTGGCAGGTGTCTCCCTCCTCACTCAGAGGCAAAGACTTTTGTTTCCTGTGTGAGGCAGGTTTGTGGTCTGGGTGGTTTGTGCTGCTCCCTGGCAGCCGCTGCTCATCACATTGTACGCACACAGCACAGAGACAGAAAGCAGATGGGTTCCTTCAGATACTCCTACTCCACCCTCA